TGAGGTACTCATTGTCCTCAAAAGCATATTCTTGAACATTTACATGACTTTCCAAATGTTTTAGAAGACAAAAAAACAACTGCAAAGATTTCTTGGTGTTTTAACTTATGCTGAAACATATATTGAAAAACTTGCAGCCATGAGAAAACCTTTACAGGTAAATTAAAAAAAAGTGTCATCTGGAATTGGTCAAATGCTGATACAGACCATCAAAAAGATAAAAGAAAGAAAGTTTTAATCAATTTCCAAACTTTATCTTCAAACATAAAGACAGTTTAATTATTGAAACTGATGCTTCTGATGAATTTTGGGAGTTTTTTTAAAAGCTAAAACCCAAAAACGAAGAAAACAAATTTGCAGGTACACCTCTGGCAGTTTCAAGCAGCCGAGAAAAACTACCATAGCAATGAAAAAGAATTACTCGCTGTAAAAAGAGTTTTACAAATATTCTTGTAATTAACACCAGTAAATTTCCTGGTTCGTACAGATAAAAAAAAATTATATATTTCCTCCGAAACTAGATTGCAGGAGACAACAAATTAGGCCGACTAATACGTTGGCAAGAGTGGTTCTCACGATATACTTTCACTGTTGAACATCTCGCAGGAAATAAAAATGTACTGGCAGACTGCCTCACCCGTGACTTCAGGTATACCTTACATCATCCATGATCTCACTTGCTCCTCTCGAGCCCTATAAAAGGATATGATCCTCATGACATATTCCTCACAAAAAACTTCACCTACAAAAAAGAGAGGGGAGATTAGAGAGAAAAGTAAACAAAAATTGAGTTTACAAAAATGGAAGACCTCAACACTTTGAGGATAAAGAAACAAATGCTCCTCATTGAGCTATCTGCAATTGAGCAGAAAATCAACTTGTATGAACAAGTAACAACGGTCACCAATGTACGGAAAGCGAAAGCTTAAAAACAAAGGCTATTCCAGTGCAAACGGCACCTGGTAAAGAATCGACAAATCCGTTGAAAGCTGATGCTTTGCTAAAAAGCATAATAAAGGAGACAGCTACTCCTCTTCCTGAAGGAAAAACTAGCTTATTGGTTAACCCCAATCCTTGTACTGAAGGAATCAGTAAAATGACAACTTTGTCACCCACCAACAAATCTGTGCAGGAGTTTACACCAGATTACAAAAAGCTCTTAACAAAGAAGCTGAAAGATTTTATGTAATCTACAAAGGACCACATGCCGGTGTTCATACTGACTGGGGAATTACAGAAACTTTCTGTAAAGCTGATAAAGTTACTTGCAAAAAATTCAGAAATGAAGCATCTGCAAGATTAAGCCTTGCCACCTATCAAGATGATACAAGCAAAACTAACCAACCACTTCTTCGACCAAAAATCCAAAAAGTCAAAGAAGCTCACAGAGACCAAAGGTTTGACGTTCCAATTGACGTTCAACAAACGGTTAACTATCCTGAAATCTCTTTTGAAGATTTCAGAACAATCTGGAAGAAAGCAAGAGCTGCATGCCCAGAAGATCTTATTTATGAAAAGTTTTTCACTACGGATAAGAAGACAAAAAGTCTGTTCAACTTCCTCGAAGGAGCAGATGCAAATTTAGTCTACCAAGCCTTTCAAGCTGGACTAATCGACAATATCTACCCAAGTTGCAACCTTCAAGAACTCAATTTCTTCCCAAGCAGCATGGTAGAATCCATTAAGAACTTTCGAAAGAAAGTACTTAAAGCAAAAGATAACCCGATCTACATCAGATGCATCTCTTCACTCCCAGAATGGATTCAAGAATCAACTCTTTCTTCATACCATTTTCTGGAAATTGGTCTTTCTAAAACCAATAGAGAAATTGAACAATCTCGACCAATGGAGGATAAAGATCTACCATTCACAAAATTCTTCATCCCAATCGCATCAATGGGTTAAGAAGAATCTCAGAAAAAATCATTGAGATTATCTCTGGTTCAAAAAAGAAGATTAATTATACCAACTCACATTGTATAATTACAAGCTGGAGTTACAACAACACCAGTCAAGAAGATCTTCGTCAAGCCTCTATGTTTGGCGAAAAATTCATGAACAATACCATGGAAGTCTCCAACGCTACACACCAACACTTCTGCCGACATGCAGAACAACTTTTCGAAGAACATCTCTGTCACTTTTGCGAAAGCAAAGATTCGGAGACAAAGGAGGGCCCTCCTATGAAGATGACAAATCCTCATCATCTTAATAGAAGATGCTCCGCACACTTCCATCCACTCAGAAAAATAATGCGTCTTACCTTTTAGAGATGCCTTCCAGCTATCCACAATAATGTAATCGTTAGTGGAGAGAAACGTCATGCCTGACGTAACAACAATTATCAGACCCTCTCAATGTATCTATAAATTGAGAGTTATGTTTTCATTAAGGGCAATCGCAAGAACGAGTGCAAAAAAAAACACTCTCTATCTTATAAATTTTTAATGTCTTGTGAGTAAAATCTCCCTTAGAGGGGAGAAGATGTAAAATATTGTAAGAGTACTCCCATCTTGGGAGCTCTTTTATCAATAAATCCATGTTTTGTTATACTTGAGTGTTCATACAAAATAGAGTAATGAAACCTGTAAGTGACAGAGTGTCAGGTCGACGATGGTCAACAGTACCGCAGGCATGAGGCCAACAGGGAAAGCAACCACACAGACCAAAGGATGACACAGGCTGGCTTGAATAGTTTCTATCTATGTAAGTAATACTCCTACTCCAAAACACTTATTGATTAAATGAGTTTTCTCTTTACAATTTTTGCATCTATTCCCTTCTTCTTGTCAAAAAACAAGAAAACCGCACACACACGCCAACTGGTATCAGAGCCTTTGTTAAAATGGCATTACATTATAATGAAACACTTTACAGTGGAATTTTCGATAAAATTCGTAATAAAGAGAATGAGATTTCTCAACATAAAGAAATACTTTTAAGTAATAAAAAAGATTTAGTGCATATAAATTTCAGAATTCTACAAGCACAAAATAAACATACTCACGAATATATACCAACCATGGTTAATATACGTAAGTACCTCCTTCATAGGCAAAAAATGCATCAAGAACACCTTGATAAAGCTTTAAACTCAGTTTCAGAACTCAGAAAAAGGATTTTAACTTGTTAACATTTCTTAAAATGAATAAAGAAATTTTCAACAATTCTGAAGAAAATGATTCAGAAGAAAAACAAATCCTAACTTATGTTGAGGATGAAGACGGCTTTCATGCAAACCTCTTAATAAAACAAGACCTTCTCTCTCGAGTTAAGAAAACAGATTTAAAAATAAAGAAAGAAAACATTTTCAAAAATGTTCCTTCTAAACTTAGTATTTTAAATCCACTTAAAAGAAAAAATGAAATTTTCTACTTTGTTAGTACTAAAGAAATGTCTGTAGACATAAAAGACACAATAGGAGCTGTCTTTCTACCCCTTTTAACTAAAGAACAAATAAACAATAACTTGAAAAGTATTCCAGTTGAGATTAGATCAAAAATAAGAATGGTCCATATCGGAGCTGTAAAATTTTGATAAAATCCCAATTCCAAGCAGGAATAAATTCTCCCATAAAAATGGCCTTAATTGACAACAGAATTACTGACAGACAGGACTGCATCTTAGGTGCTGCTAGGGGAAACCTTGCTTACCAAAAATTTATGTTTTCAGTCTATCCAAAATTTGCTCTGGATTTGAAATCTGCAAATATAGATAAAACTTTATCTTTTATACATCACTTTGAAAGAAGTGACCTTATGAACCCAGGTGATAAACCATTCACCATAACCTATCTCATAGGATATGCCCTGACCAATAGTCACCATAGCATAGACTACAAGAAAGACGAGTACATCGAACTTGATGATGTCTTTTCAGAAATAGGCCATGTCAAAGATAAACAATTCTGCGACATAAATCCTCAAGAAAACTCTTGGGTTTTAAATATAGCTAGAAACAAAAAAGCTCTAGGAGAAACTCTTAGACCAAGAATTTCTATGGATTCACTCCATATAGGAGAAAGCTCAGAAAGAAAAGATAGTAACTTGATAAGAAACATGTCTTTAAAAATTGATAGTCTACGTCAGAATATCAAACAAATCTCTGAAGTTATAAATGAGTAATAAAATAGATTTTCCTCATTTTTATAAAAAAGGTAAAACAGTAAAAATTAAAACTCTTGACGACAATACTGAAAAGAAAGAATACATTTTCTCTACTTCTGGAAAAGCTGGTATTCAAACATTGTAAATCATTGCAATAATCTCAACCAGATCATTGCAAGATGTCTCTTAAAAACTTCAAAAATAAGCCATTACCTTGGTATTTCAAAAGATATTTCTAAAGATATTTCAAAAAATAAAATACCTTTTAACCAATTTAAAAACGATTTAGCCTTTTTGGTTAAAAACAATCTTGATAAAAATGATTTTGAAAAATTCTTCGAAGTTATTGAAGGCAAAATAAATTAACTATCAAGCTAACCCAGTCTATTGACAAACATTCTATTCTTTTAGAAAACTCTTTAAAAAACAACCATTTTGTTGAAGAAGTCGCCAAAAAGGCAAATATTGAAGGCACTCTTAAGGAAAACAACCTTAAGATCACTAATATACAAGATCAGTTAAAACAACTAATAGGATGACCTCGATTCCCGAGCTCAATAGATCAATCAACCTCCTTAATGAAAAAATAGATGGGCTGATCATAAACTTTGACTTAACAGTCAATAAATACGTAACCACTACACAGTTGGAAGTAGCATCTGCAAAAATTATTGCAGACATTACTAAAGAGTTATCTGAAAAGATTGACTCTTGCCCTTGTAATAAAGACATTCTTGAACACATCAAGAATATTTCCATCATAGAGCAAAAAACCAAACCTGGAAAATATTCAGGTCTTAAGAAATACTCACCTCCCAATCCTAGTATTGGAAACCCTGACTTAGGAAGCTCAAAAGACTCCCAGAAAATTGATATTTTCAAAAAAGAGCAAAAATGAAAGAAACAATCTCTGAGAAACTTGAGAAATATTTCTTTAACCTTCAATATGAAGATTATGATAAGGCTGACCAAAAACTTATTCAGCTTTTATCTTTAGAAACTAAAGAATGCGAAGAATTGTATCAAAAAGAACCCAAACTTTTTGATCAATATTTTAGAATGACTAAAATAGATGAACCTGATACTGAATCAGAACAAGAAGATAACTTTAAAACTAATACAAAGACTGTTAAGTTCGAATATTCAGATATGGAAGATGATGAAGCAGAATCTTCTTATACAGCCACAAGAAGAGGCAATAAAAAGAAATATGAGTTCAAAATGCCTGTACACAATGGTATTCCAGATAGTAGCAAAGGACCCAATACGATCAATATACTCAATATTGATTGTATCCAAGATCTAAAACTCAGAGAAAGAGTTGTAGAAAAATGGGTTACTGAGATTTCACTAATCTTACAGACAAACCCAGATGAATTTGAAAAAGCAAAAAATGTTCTTCTACTTTTAGAACACAAAACTGATGGAATTGTGCAAAAGTTCCTAAGAAACAATAATTGGAATGAAGATTTGCATGGTTCAGATCTTTTTGATAATCTCATAAATGTCATACACTACTTTCTTAGGTCTTGATTATATTTCTAATAAAGACTTTACCATTAATAAGAAAGTTGACGTAGCAAGAGTTTCAATGACAAAACTCCAATTACATGATATTAGTCTTCTCGACAAATACACATGTATGTATGAATCATATCTATATGATATTCCCCAGAGAAGTGAATATGCACAATGGATATCTGCTTATCTAATGAAAATTCCAATTATTGGAGAAATCTGTACTGAAAGATGGAAAAAAGAAGCTACTGGAGAAATCCAGCAAACCAGTCTTTCTTATGCAACAAAAATTGCAAAGGAAGAAATTGATAGAATCTGTCAAGACAGATATAAACAACAAAAGCTCAAAACAATAAGTAAAGATTGTTGTAGCATTCTCTCTGATTTCAAAAACTTTGATATTGGAAGGAAAACTTATACTAAGAAAAAATATAAAAACAAAAAGAAATACAAATCTTTCTGGAAAAAGAAAAGAAGAAAAATTTTCACCAGGAAAATACTTCAAAAAACCTTCAAAAGAATCACCTAAGAAGACTACTTCCTGTCCACAAGGAAAGAAAAAATGTAGATGTTGGATCTGCAATGAAGAAGGACACTATGCCAATGAATGTCCAAATAGAAAAAAATACCCTGACAAAGTCAAGGTTTTACAAACCGCTAATAATGGAGGTTATGAAGCTCTTGAAGAGGAGTATGAAGGTATACAACATGTCTTTACATTTCATGTTGAAACTGATTCTTCATCAAATTCTGATGAAAACGAATCAACCACGGATGACTCAGACTAGTCTCATACAGGCTCCACTTTTTAGGGAGGAGGAGTTTAACCATTTTTGCAAACCTCCAGAAGATTAATGATTCCCTTATCATGAATCTCACTAATCCAAACTCTATTTATGTTTCTGCCTTCCTTAACTTTAAAGGATATAAGAAATTTAGAGTACATTGTTTTGTAGACACATGTGCATCTTTATGTCTTGCAAGCAAATTCATCATTCCGGATGAGCTCTGGGAAAATGCTCCCAAAGAAATTAGTGCCACTATTGCAAATGGTGAAACCATAAAGATAAATAAAGTTTGTAGAAATATTAATCTCGAACTTTCAGGAGAACATTTCAACGTTCCCACTATTTACCAACAAAATTCAGGAATTGATATCATAATTGGTAACAACTTTTGTCAAGTTTATGGACCATTTATACAATGGATAGATAGAATTGCCTTTCATCTTAATAATGATATGGTAATTATAAAAAAGGTTACAGAAGCCTATAGCAAAGGAAAACCAGGTTTTCTTGAAACTCAAGAAAAAGGCTCTAAAGAAAAACAAATTTCGGGTACTAATATAACCCAAGAAGGAATTAATAAAGAAAGGATTATTTCTATTCAAACTACCAGGTTCAAACAGATTGATCTTGAAAAAGTTTGTTCTGAAAATCCTATTGATCCAGATAAAACCAAAGGATGGATGAAAGCTTCAATTAAGCTCATTAATCCCAAAACGGTTATTAGAGAAAAACCTATGGTTTACTCTCTACAAGATAGAGAAGAATTCTCCAAACAAATCAAGGAATTACTTGATATGAGACTAATTATAGAATCAAAATCCCCTCATATGTCCCCTGCCTTTCTTGTCAATAAAGAAGCAGAAAAAAGAAGAGGAAAGAAGCGCATGGTTGTCAACTACAAAGCAATCAATGATGCAACTATTGGAGACTCACATAATCTTCCCAATATGCACGAACTTTTGACTCTTCTACGAGGAAAAAATATGTATTCAAGTTTTGACTGCAAGTCAGGTTTCTGGCAAGTCCTACTTGATGAAGAATCGCAGCTTCTCACTGCCTTCACATGTCCTGATGGACTCTTTCAATGGAAAGTACTACCCTTTGGGCTTAAACAAGCTCCTAGTATTTTTCAAAGACACATGCAGAACGCCCTTCGAGGACTTGAAGGTTTCTGTACTGTATACGTTGATGACATCATGGTCTTCAGCAAAATGAACAAGAGCACTATGTTCATGTTACACAGGTTCTCAGAACCATTTTAAAATATGGAATAATACTTTCAAAAAAGAAAGCTCATCTTTTCAAAACAAAAATTAATTTTTGGGTTTAGAAATAAATGAGGGTACTCATTGTCCTCAAAAGCATATTCTTGAACATTTACATGACTTTCCAAATGTTTTAGAAGACAAAAAACAACTGCAAAGATTTCTTGGTGTTTTAACTTATGCTGAAACATATATTGAAAAACTTGCAGCCATGAGAAAACCTTTACAGGTAAAATTGAAAAAAGATGTCATCTGGAATTGGTCAAATGCTGATACAGACTACATCAAAAAGATAAAGAAAGTTTTAATCAATTTTCCAAAACTTTATCTTCCAAACATTGAAGACAGTTTAATTATTGAAACTGATGCTTCTGATGAATTTTGGGGAGGTGTTTTAAAAGCTAAAACCCCCAAAAACGAAGAACAAATTTGCAGGTACACCTCTGGCAGTTTCAAGGCAGCCGAGAAAAACTACCATAGCAATGAAAAAGAATTACTCGCTGTAAAAAGAGTTATTACAAAATTCTCTGTATATTTAACACCAGTAAATTTCCTGGTTCGTACAGATAATAAAAATTTTACTTATTTCCTCCGAACTAAGATTGCAGGAGACAACAAATTAGGCCGACTAATACGTTGGCAAGAGTGGTTCTCACGATATACTTTCACTGTTGAACATCTCGCAGAAAATAAAAATGTACTGGCAAACTGCCTCACCCGTGACTTCAGGTATACCTTACATCATCCATGATCTCACTTGCTCCTCTCGAGCCCTATAAAAGGATATGATCCTCATGACATATTCCTCACAAAAAACTTCACCTACAAAAAAGAGAGGGGGAGATTAGAGAGAAAAGTAAACAAAAATTGAGTTTACAAAAATGGAAGACCTCAACACTTTGAGGATAAAGAAACAAATGCTCCTCATTGAGCTATCTGCAATTGAGCAGAAAATCAACTTGTATGAACAAGTAACAACGGTCACCAATGTACCGGAAAGCGAAAGCTTAAAAACAAAGGCTATTCCAGTGCAAACGGCACCTGGTAAAGAATCGACAAATCCGTTGAAAGCTGATGCTTTGCTAAAAAGCATAATAAAGGAGACAGCTACTCCTCTTCCTGAAGGAAAAACTAGCTTATTGGTTAACCCCAATCCTTGTACTGAAGGAATCAGTAAAATGACAACTTTGTCATCCACCAACAAATCTGTGCAGGAGTTTACACCAGATTACAAAAAAGCTCTTAACAAAGAAGCTGAAAGATTTTATGTAATCTACAAAGGACCACATACCGGTGTTCATACTGACTGGGGAATTACAGAAACTTTCTGTAAAGCTGATAAAGTTACTTGCAAAAAATTCAGAAATGAAGCATCTGCAAGATTAAGCCTTGCCACCTATCAAGATGATACAAGCAAAACTAACCAACCACTTCTTCGACCAAAAATCCAAAAAGTCAAAGAAGCTCACAGAGACCAAAGGTCTGACGTTCCCATTGACGTTCAACAAACGGTTAACTATCCTGAAATCTCTTTTGAAGATTTCAGAACAATCTGGAAGAAAGCAAGAGCTGCATGCCCAGAAGATCTTATTTATGAAAAGTTTTTCACTACGGATAAGAAGACAAAAAGTATGTTCAACTTCCTCGAAGGGGCAGATGCAAATTTAGTCTACCAAGCCTTTCAAGCTGGACTAATCGACAATATCTACCCAAGTTGCAACCTTCAAGAACTCAATTTCTTCCCAAGCAGCATGGTAGAATCCATTAAGAACTTTCGAAAGAAAGTACTTAAAGCAAAAGATAACCCGATCTACATCAGATGCATCTCTTCACTCCCAGAATGGATTCAAGAATCAACTCTTTCTTCATACCATTTTCTGGAAATTGGTCTTTCTAAAACCAATAGAGAAATTGAACAATCTCGACCAATGGAGGATAAAGATCTACCATTCATAGAAATTCTTCATCCCAATCGCATCAATGGGTTAAGAAGAATCTCAGAAAAAATCATTGAGATTATCTCTGGTTCAAAAAAGAAGATTAATTATACCAACTCACATTGTATAATTACAAGCTGGAGTTACAACAACACCAGTCAAGAAGATCTTCGTCAAGCCTCTATGTTTGGCGAAAAATTCATGAACAATACCATGGAAGTCTCCAACGCTACACACCAACACTTCTGCCGACATGCAGAACAACTTTTCGAAGAACATCTCTGTCACTTTTGCGAAAGCAAAGATTCGGAGACAAAGGAGGGGCCCTCCTCTGAAGATGACAAATCCTCATCATCTTAATAGAAGATGCTCCGCACACTTCCATCCACTCAGAAAAATAATGCGTCTAACCTTTTAGAGATGCCTTCCAGCTATCCACAATAATGTAATTCGTTAGTGGAGAGAAACGTCATGCCTGACGTAACAAACAATTATCAGACCCTCTCAATGTATCTATAAATTGAGAGTTATGTTTTCATTAAGGGAATCGCAAGAACGAGTGCAAAAAAAAAACACTCTCTATCTTATAAATTTTTAATGTCTTGTGAGTAAAATCTCCCTTAGAGGGGAGAAGATGTAAAATATTGTAAGAGTACTCCCATCTTGGGAGCTCTTTTATCAATAAATCCATGTTTTGTTATACTTGAGTGTTCATACAAAATAGAGTAATGAAACCTATAAGTGACAGAGTGTCAGGTCGACGATGGTCAACAGTACCGCAGGCATGAGGCCAACAGGGAAAGCAACCACACAGACCAAAGGATGACACAGGCTGGCTTGAATACTTTCTATCTATGTAAGTAATACTCCTACTCCAAAACACTTATTGATTAAATGAGTTTTCTCTTTACAATTTTTGCATCTATTCCCTTCTTCTTGTCAAAAAACAAGAAAACTGGTATCAGAGCCTTTGTTAAAATGGCATTACATTATAATGAAACACTTTACAGTGGAATTTTTCGATA